CGACCCCAATTTTTGCAAATAATCTGGTCTTAAAAACTGAACTACCACAGGTATATACGGTAAATATGACATGGGGCCGGGTTTTTTTTTGGGGCAGCAAAAGTACACGGATTTTTAACATTCACGGGTATCTCTTCTAACCCCCGCGTATGTTAAGGGCCGACTGTATTTATAAACTCAATTACGCTGTGCCCATAAGTTTTAAACCACATTTTCTTCAAACTATTGATTACCTTTACTATATTAACACAGTAGTTTCTACTTTCCCAAAAAGTGTCATTTGACAAAAAATATTCCTTGCATTTTGGCAAGGGTCATTAACACTAATGACAAAAATTTTTTAATTATGAGCCCAGATCTGCCATCAGCATGTAAAAGAGTACTGTACTGTACTATGCCTTTGTATGAAATTTTAACAAAATCTAGGTCAATCTGCCAAAACAAAAGGCGTTTACGACTTTTTTTGGAAAGTGAAAACTAACGAGCTTCAATGGTAATGTTAGTCTATATCCTTGAGAAAATATATATGAGGAGGATTTAAACCATAAATGTAAGATTCATCTTGTCACTACATTGCAACATTGTTAATTTAGATTGTTACAATTCGAATTGTGGTTTAATTCATACATGTCATCCCACTTGCATGATTGTATTTTTTGTCAAATTAATGAGGGTATACTGTAGTGTACCTTGATAAAGGAGGTTTTTAAAGAAGCTGTACTGGATGGTGGACAGTACGACGAAATTACTACACTGTCAGACAAGGAAACGAGGCAGAGCCTTTTAGTGGCAAGTGATCCTCTAAAGACAGAAGCCATGTTGGTAACTCTCCTTGGTTACTATAAAAACAGTGTCAACAACTTCCACCAGTCACAGAAGTATGTACAGTACAACTTTCAGAGTGTATGTATTGTATCCTCAGTGATCATATTAACACAGTTTTCACCTTCTGTTGATCCTTGGGCCCTCGTGAGTTCACCCAGATTTAAATGGATACCTAACTTTACAGCTGGGAAGTGGGGGCCAGTCGAGCACAGAGCCAACCTTCTCCCTCCCTCCTTGTATACAGACGGCATACTATACTGTGTGTTGTATCCATACTGGCGTGAATGTGCTCTCAAGGCCTACGTGACACACTTTAACATCACAACTAAGCAACTCCATCACTTGTAGGAGTGTGCACACACACACACACACACACTTGAAAGGTCAACACCAATTCCCAAGCTCACATACCTGTACAGTACTCTAGTTTAGCAACAACAATACTTACTCCATGCCCTTCCTTTGTACAGTACAGTATACCATGCGACCTCCTTGATACTGCACTTATATCATGTGGTTCACTAATACACTGACAGAGACACTTACAGGAAGTCCTTCACCCTAACCCACAGATCTAACCAAAACTTACGTCACTGTCATCCTGGAAACTCTACACATAAATAATTCATTCCATATACTGTGCAGTTATCCCTCACTTTTAGAATGGGTTAGTTTCATTGAAAACCATTTGCTGAGTAAATTTTTGTATATCGACAACATAACGTGAAATAGATTCACAAACAACCAAAACACGTACCTAACTACTGTAAATTAGTACTAACAAATTATAAAATAAAATTAAATAATAAATTTGGTACAATAAATTACCTTAACTTTAGAGGGCAAAGTATCCCTTAGTTATTTTATGCTGGCTAGTGCCAGATAATTTTATTCTGCTGAGGGGAGCCCCTGCCCACTAAAGGGTTAGGGGGACCATATTTGTATATGCAAGAATAGCTTTTTATAAAAGACAGAGGTGAAAGAATAGAAAATTTGTATAAGCAAATTTTTGTAGCTCAAACGTTCAGATAGCAAGGAATACCTGTAGGTACTGTATGTCACCTTAAAACACCAAAACAAAAAAGTGTAGCCTGAACGTCTTCTGACTTTTATGTTCCCCAAAACTATACCTTTCTTGTCTCCAACACTCTACCCTGTATATCTACAATGCCTTTACAGTCTTTATCAATATACACTACTGTACATATACAAACCCTGAATCAAGTACATCTTAATGCCATACTTCCTTTACACATCCAAAAATAACTGGGCTCTAAGTTGGAACACTGTAAACCATTCACTTCACAACTTTGCTGTGTGTATCTGGCACCTATAGAAGCACCCAGAACAAAAACAAACTGCTTATATATAAAGTAAACCACAGAAGCTTGTATATAAAGTATAGCACAAAAATTTCTTTATAAAGTACAGTACAAACTACAGTACTCACTATCTGCACATGGTATGTCGTCCAATTATTGTAGCAGGGCGTGACGCTTCAATAGAGAATTAAACGCCTTTGAACTAAAGAATAAAAAAAAATACTCGGGCAAAACTCACTATGGTCTGTGGTTTGAGCATTTGGCACTGGAAGATCGTGTAGTCCCCGTTGTTGCACACGACGCCAAACTGTTCTTGTGGCAGGAACTTGCAGAGACCCTCCTTCATGACCTGAGGTGCAAGGCAAGATATCTTTTACAACACTGTACAGTAGTCAATAACAGGAAGTATTCTGGTACATTAAGAGGTATAATAGACACAAACAAACGGAGATACACACACTGTTCATATATAGACTGTAAACATGTGTAGACTACAGATATTAATGTACAGTACAAATTTTTATATGTCCATGACCAAATTCTTTTGTCTTTTACTTCAATTTTATCAAGTTGTTTTTAATCCACAAAGACAAGAAATCAAGAACCTGAAGACTACTCAGAGCCAGTTAAATCTGTGGACAATGAAGGCCGTAGTGAAGAACAAACAAACTGTCTGTCTGACTGCTGCCCCAATGGCTACTAAGGTGACAATTGACGAAGAAGATAAGCTAAAAGCTGGAGTTGCAGAGACTACAACAACAACAACACACACACACACTTATGGCGACTTCTGTGATGGGCCAGACAGGTTTGGTGTTTATCCGTAGGTTGGACAGGTCAAAGTCGGTGCTCTCATCCACTCCCCCCATGTGAGGCTCAAGGGGGCTGTTGTGGTCCAGGTCTAGAGGCGTCACTTTCACTCACCTGCGACACCACAACACATCAGTACTGCACTCTAGTTGATTATAACGTGCTGGCTTATAATATGACGTTGTTTACAGGGGAAGTTGTTTCCAAATAGTTGTTTAAAACCTTCATGACCCAAACTTAGTTATCATATACTGTACTGTACAAAAGTATCAGTAATGGAGTTATTCTGTTTGGGGTCTTCTACCTAGGGGGAGGCAGAGGAAAAGGGAGATTACCAACTGTAGGGAGATGGAAGGAGGAGGGGTGAACTGTGGGGAGAGGAAGGGGAGAATATGAAATGGCAGGGAGAGAGAAGAGGGTGAGGAAGAGGAAAATATCAACTGAGAGAAGGGAAGAGAGGAGATATCTTCCAATCTCTCATGTTGAAGATGGACCACCGGGCGATAAATACAAAATATACAACTACTTAATCACGATCTCTGCTATTTCATTTTATAAATTCCCACAAACTGCGTTTTTTATTATCAGTAGACAATTGTACAGTACGTCCTTTATGTCTGCTGGGATATATAGTACAGGGCTTTACTTCTTTAAGATATGCACAGCTGAAATAATGTCATCATCATCCACACCACTGCCTTGTACCCACTCCACCCGGGCACCACAAATTCTCTATCTTCATTCACCTCATCAGTCTCCCACATTTACCTTCTTGTTCTGGTACTTCCTCTTAAACAGCATCACAGGGTCATTGTAGAGGTTGGAATTACAGAGTCAAAGAGCTGGACCACGGACTCCTTCACCAGCCACCCCTGGTCCACTCGCTCAAACCCTCCAAAAGAGCCAAAACGATCCACTTGTGGCTCATCTACGGAATTTTCTGTTGGAATGAGAACGGAGGTCGATTCAATTATTGTTATAACAAACTTGAATAATAAAAAAAAAAGACTTAATAAACTTGGAGATACACAATGTGGAACCTATATTTTTAACGGAATCCAGTTGACATTAAATGATAGAAATTTATATCAAAACAAAACAGCTTTGATATACACTGGCAGCCTCTTGAGTGACAAAAGTGATTACATGATGAACAAACAAACATACTTCATGACAGCTCCAAGAGTGAGATAGAACAATATAAAGAAGCTTCCAACCCCAATGAGGTAACACAGGCTTGGCAGGAGGGATCATAGAGCGTCCAGTATCAAGACTTGCAAATGAGTCTAGTTAGTACATATCCTCTTTGCAAATAAAATATAAAAACAGCATCCCCGTAGTGAAGGGGTTAAAAGTCCTACACTTACACAACATATTTATTCTCTGATCTCTTGTACTTTGGTTTATATTAATGAAAACTTCTTGTCCAAAACAGTTTTATCTATGTATTAATCTTTCACAATTATCTAAGTCTCGTGCCCGTATCAAAATGCACATGCACGACTCCATTGTGCCAATTTAAAAAAAAAATGAATAAATTCTAGGTCACTACAATATGTCCTCACCACAAAGGACTTACAACACACTGATGAGATGACCGCACATGTTCAACAGTACAGTATATAAAAAAAAAGACAGTATAGATTTAGGCTGAGTTACCTCCATCTGGAACTTTCCTGGGCCACAAATTGGTCTCCCAGCGTCTGACAACCATGGTACGATCATATAGACCGGGCTTGGCTTCCAGGATGATGCACACGCAGTAACGGTACTCCACCTATAAGCACAAACGTGGATTACGAAAAGTTTTTGCAGAACCCAAAGCAGATAGATTTTTTTAGGATAAAGTCTACCCTGTTTATTTGTATACCTGTGCTTTATATTACTTCACGTGTATGAAATATGGGATCATGTGAAGAATAAGCAATTTAGCTTTTTTTTTCACCTGATGATGAAACACCCTAAAGCTACCTGGAATAGGGGGGATAAGTTAGGTTATAATAGATTTGGGTATATTAAGGATAGGGTGTCTAATCTTCATGTGTGTGTGAGAGAGACAACAGGACCCCAGGTATTATAACATAAAAGCTAAATGCAATACTGTATCTATCACTGAACTGTAACGATGATCTCAAGTAGTGTTACAGGTGAACCTTTAAAATCATCTTAAGGATACAGTATTCACCTTCAAGCTTGTCCAAAAGACTCAATGCTTTATTAAAACAATCAGAAATTAAGGAACAGATAAACAGATAGATGGTATGAGCAATGGCAACAACTCTCACCTGAGCTAACATGCACAACACAACTGTGTAGATATTAGTCTGATAGATTAATCTTACACTAACACATGTATTGTACAGTAATACTAAAGATAACAAGATGGCCCCAGCAGAGTGAGCAGGTGGATTGGACAGTAGCCTACAGCACAAGATACTGGTTGTGAGATAAGAACACCTTAAACCTAATGAATGGCCATTATGAGTACTGTACTATAGACTAATTTTTTTTTATGAGATTAGCCCACCAGGGCACAGGTCAATGACCCACATCAGGACCTGGGGGGGGAGGGGGACAAAATATCATAACAACAACAACAACAACAACAACAATAATAATAATAATAAATAAATATAAATTAAAATTTTTAAATTATTAAATAAAAATACGATTAAATAATATAAGAATGATGATAATAATATTAATAATAAAGGACAAAAATAATAAAAATAAATTAATAGTGAGAACCGATCTACAGTACAGTATCTGTATGTATGTTGTGTGGTCAATTTAAAAGAAACAATTGAGAGGCAGAAAGTCAACTCAGCAACCTGGGACTTAGTAACATATGGCAGCAGGGTCTACCATTAGACAACACATTACCGGTATGCTTCCAATATCATCTCAGGCGGTAGTACCTCCCCGTTTGATAGCTGCCTACTGCTCTACCTGTTGTTAATGTACCTGATAACTGTGAGATCTATCCACAATTTTAGTTTCATGAGATGGTAATTTTTATATGTCAAGTCAAAAGCGAAATACTTTGAGTAAATCCACAAAATTTTTTTTTACTTTGTTTGAACACATCCCTTGATCCTCCCACAAGTACCCCTGTATAGTACTGTAACAAGTTTTTTTTTATCATCAGGAGAGTCGAATCCAGAGACTGCTTGCACTCTTCACTATCAGATGACAAGTACGAGCTGTGGTTTACATCACCTGCACGTGTTGTATACAGAGTGTTGTCAGCCGGTGAAAAACACTTTCAAGGATACATTCTATTCCTGGAGGTTGGTTAGGTTAAATTACCGGTTAGGTTAGGGTAGTCAAACTTAGTTAATTAAGCTGGGGACTAATTTTACGGTGATGCCAGTATACTCTTTTTATAATTCTTTGTACTACTACTACATTTCTATTCACTCATTCCCTTCTGGTTTCATCTCCAATTCTTCCCCAATGAAATAATTTAAAACACAGTACAGTACTTCATATTCTGCAGCTAATTTTTGTCTTCGGTTTATCACTCCACCACATTGTTTCTCCCTTACTGTACCCCTCTCACCTGCCCTACAGTAACTACAGTTTACTCTCATTATCCAAACCCTTCATAAGTTGCCACGTGATGACCTTAAGAAACGGAGACCAAGGATAATCTTCCAACAAAGTACTGTACTGTATTACCATAAGCCTCCTCACAACAACCAGGACTACAACAGTTAATTCTATTACTTAACCCTTAACTGGCAGCTTAGGATTCCCCACCAGACCCGATAGGTGAAAATATGGAACATAAGGAACACGAAACATCCAACGATGATGGCCAATCTCCCTACAGCCAACTTCCACTGATGATGGCTGCTATCTATGGGTTAAAATCTTGTCTAGTAGATTGACACAATATCCACATTTCTCTGGATCAAACCACCAAGGCAAAACAAACATCAATAATAGATGATAAAACCTGAATATCTTAAGCATGGAATAAATTACTACAAAGCCGAAGTGTGTGGGACTTCTGACACGGCATTATCTGAACAATCAATAAGAAGCTTCCTAATAATTCAATGTGAGCAGAGGATTCAAATACCAACCTCTCTCACTTAAGGGCAGCTCTCAGCTATAACAACTGCTGTACAACTTGGGAAACTATTTTGTGAGTTGCAAAGGAATTATAAGAACAATTTGTATTACAGAAATGAGAACACATCCAAGTACAGTAACCCTGGGTAGCTCTGTGTTCATAGGACTGGGTTGGTCATCACTACAGGGAGCCTTATTGGGTGAATGTCTTACTGCAGCTCTTTAAGTCTTGTTACTCGTCTGAATTAGATCTGATGATAAAAAAGTCCCACTCTACACAACCCAAAAACAACCTCAATGAAGAACAGTCCATTCAGAGTTTCTCCAAGTTGTTTTTGACACTTGAAGCAAGTTGGTAGATCTGGGTCAGGGCTGTTATCCCCACCTATACAAAATGCTACATGGCAGTGTGTAGCACCTATGAGAAACCATTTTTTACATGTTGGTGCTGGGACACATAGCTCTACAGTGCAACCCGTGGCAAAATAGTTCGGATAATATATAAATTTGTTTCTGTTCTCTCGGGTTGTGTCCAAACAAGTGATGAGTGAGGTGCACTGTGTTGATATGGCAGTGTTTCAATTGTCCATTTTTTCTATATACTATATGGCAACTCCTGATTACAAGATGAAGGTGATGATTGACCTTTGGATCAGTCTCATTGATTTTGTTAGATTTATAATTTGTTGTAAAAGTGATTCATTCATCTACCGGTAGTTTATAAATAGATGAAAACCAAACAGTAATTCCCAAGAGTAGAAACTTTAATTAACCCAAGAAACAGCAGCTGGTGATGCCTGTGCCAACAACACTGAACACAGGAAACACCGAGAGATAAAAATGATAAGAATGCCCCTGTGTGATAAACTGCCTTGGAAGGAGAGTGTGTTTAGGGCACGTCAAGAGAATAACTATGGACAAAATGAGTAGAGTGGAGACAGTGTATAAAGCAAAACAGATAAAGTATTGTATAGGAATGTATAATTAAAAAAAAAAAGTTGAAGATGTAGGAGCGATTAAAACTCAGTAAAGATTGAAAAGAGACTTACTATTGGTCAACTTAATGACTATGGCTGATGACACTTGGCAGAAGGAAGTATGGAGTGCTGGTATAGGCCAAGAACAATACAATAATATCAAGTGTGGATTATGAGTGTGTGTGAATACTATATAAATAATTACAAAGACAATAAAGATAATGATTCCAAGTTCAGTCTCTCCCCCACCCCCCTCTACCCCTCAAGAATTTATGGGCTTAACATTACAATACAGATGAACACCAAGATGTGTTAATTCAAACTAAGGTAAGGTAAGATTATGTTGATGTCAGGCAAGTAAAAAAAAAAATGAGTAACCAAGGCAACAGGACTCAATTTAAAGAGGGCATTACGTAACAAAGTTCAGAGAAATGTTGTGTCATGTCTTGCATGTAGAACACCTGCTGGGAAGAAAATTAATGCTAGGACACCACACACACACACACACAAATAACACTGGACTACTTTTTTTTGTGATACAGTCATTGGGTTAAGTGATGAATGTCCTTGTGTGTGTGTGTGTGTGTGTGTGTGTTCAGAGGCGGTCGTCCACGTGTTGTGATAAAGAATGTTGTGAATGGTCAGCAAGATAAGATAAATATATGTGAAGTTGTCCATAGGGTTTAAAGACAAATCTGGGGCATTGATATGGGTGACTAAGAACCAAACAGGGTTAAGTTAAGTTATGACCACCATCACACGACCTGTATGTGAGAGATGCTGTTGTTGTGTTCACTGAGGTAGACTGAGTAAGAACGTTGCGGTGTTTTGGTGAAGAAGACAATCAGGTCAACTGACTTACAGGGACCTGCTGTTATACACACTACAGTACTGCTGATACAACTTACTCAGGAACCAACACACATAATGAGACCTGCTCAGCACACCAGAGAAGCTTGTTTGCAAAGTAAAGTGTGAGAGAATACATATAATTTGTGCAGTAGTAAATCACAACCATAAACACAGATGATAGTAGAGTATATGATGTGGTGAAAGACTTGAAAATACAATGTCATGGTGAGGAATTGACAGATACTATAGAGCTCTTGGTCATTTCTGTGTCATGGCCAGAGATTAATTACTGAAAGAGATGACGAGGCATAGGTTAAGATAAAGTTAAGAGGTAATGACCAAGTTTTGAAGCTCAAAGGTCATGCCCACGAGTCAGGATTTCCAATTAAAACTGTTCAGCTGTTTGGTGTCAACACATGAAGGTAGTGATGCTATAACCCTTCAATGGTGGGCAAAGGTTCCCTAATTCACATCCATGTTGACACTGGCTGCCATCCCTACAGCTAACACCCACTGAAGGTAGCCACTGTTGTGAAGGTTGAACGGCTGCCCTTATCTGTGGAAGCTTCTTGTTACTTGCATTCCATTTTTTGCAGGAGGAAGAAAGCCTTAGCTACCGATTACGGATAAAAGGCACTTGAAAAAGAATCAGGAGTAGGAGACACAGACTTGTACAGGAGCGTAGTACCAGATTATGGAAGACACAAGACCACCTAACCAAGACTGGGGTAGTGTGTTAGTGGTGTGTTGGATGTGCTACTCTATACTGTATGCTTAAGGCTTGGTGGGAAAGGAGTGAGTTATGGAGCAGCTGACATAATAAAAACTGGCTAAGATTAAGATGAGAATAAAGGAAGAGAAGATGAATACTAGTGACAAAAGAAGCAGAGGGAGGGAGGGAGGGAGGGGGGGGTATAGTACAGTACTGCCCAGTCACCCACATCATTATTATACAGTACATTAGTTTACATTTTTCACGTCTTTATTTGTCACAGTATTTGTTATCTTGTGGGCATCTACAGTGTATTCCAACTAAGAGCCTGTTCGTGTACTGTAAGGTAAAGTATAATTCAGGCTGGAATAGAAAGGATGCGCCTGTTCCACATCCTCCGCTTCTTGATTCAATTGTTATCCTCTTTTATATGCTATCCACACACCTGAACCACCTTGGCATAATATAATCCTGGCCAAGACCGGATCACCTGGAGATTAGGCACCCCAGCATATTTCCCGTGATGATTCAACACAAGTGGTAACCTACACTCCCCTCACAAATAAAGTAAGGGTGTTAAATCATCGGGTGAAGTAAGCCGAGATGCCCAATCTTGCTTTGATCTGCTTAAACCTGTTATAAAAGATTTTTCTTTAATTCCCCAGACTCAAGAGTTTGTTAACATGACCGACGGCAATTGACAAGATCACACCTACGTTTTTATTGTATTTTTTGTCTGCTTACGTTCATTTTCTTCCCAATCCGCACACAATTTTCAGGTTACAGGATACTTTTTTTGAGAGTGAGTGTGAGTGTGAGTGTGAGTGTGAGTGTGAGTGTGTGTGTGTATGTGTGTGTGTGTGTATGTGTGACACAACAACAGTACATACACCACCATATCAACTGGTCCACAGACCCAGGTGTACGAGGGAGAGATCTGATAAAGTCACCCTACTGTGTCATAGACGGCACATACATAATAAATGACCACAAACCAAACAAACAATACACCCGTGCTGGTATCCATCAAATCAAACCACTTACCCCAACGAAGGGAATCTGAATTGGAGTCGACCATATGACCTCTTCACTGTCGACCGAGTCTTCTGGGTAGAGGGGGACCATCCGCTGAGAGTCCCACATACCCAAAGAATCGCAATTCCCTACCACACACACCTGCAGCAAGATCACTCAAATAAATATTCCAAGATTAAGAAAAGGAAAAAAAAAAAAATGGACCACATGAAAATTAATCACCTCAATTTATTTTACTTGATTGACCAGCCTCATGCTACCTGGGGAAAGGGGTTAAGTTAAATCAGGTTATGTTAGATTAAGTGAGGAGATTAGTTTAGGTAAGGTTATAACGTATTATTAGTGGTTAAGTGAGAATATGCATGCTGGGGTGCCTAATCTTCAGGTGATGCCATCCCCCCTCCATTAGTTACGGTCACCCAGACAAGGAACGAAGAGAAAGTAGCAGGTTAAAAGGTGAAAATTATAACAGTACCTGCTCCTCTGGCGCTACTTGACAGGTAACGCGGAACACCCATTCTCGGCTCTCGATCATCTTGAACTCTGGATAACGTAAGTGCTACAGTGACAGGCGGACGACCTCTGTGTCAACTACTTGCACAAAACAACCAGCCAATTGTGAATCAATGTCTCATTACTGTGCAGTCAATCTGAAATAGAGAAAATTCCATTAAAATTTTCCTTATGGTTTATTAAATGAATCACTTAATTAGCCCCACCAGTTTATTTTACAAGACTAGACCCAACTTATTTCACCAAATTAACCCCCTTGTTTATTTCACCAGATTAATCCCCCTGTTTATGTCACCAGATTACCCCCCCGTTTATTTCACCAGATTAATCCTCTGTTTATGTCACCAGATTACCCCGTTTATTTCACCAATTAATCCTGTTTATGTCACCAGATTACCCCCGTTTATTTCACCAGATTAATCCTCTGTTTATGTCACCAGATTACCCCGTTTATTTCACAGATTAATCCCCTGTTTATGTCACAATTACGTTTATTTAGATTAATCCTGTTTATGTCACCAGATTACCCCCGTTTATTTCACCAGATTAATCCCCTTGTTTATGTCACCAGATTAGACCCCGTTTATTTCACCAGATTAATCCCCCTGTTTATGTCACCAGATTACCCCCCGTTTATTTCACCAGATTAATCCCCCTGTTTATGTCACCAGATTAGACCCAGCTTATTTCACATGAAGATCAACTGACACCCCAAATCCTCCAGGAAGTGTTAAGAGTGGTTAATCTTCAGGTGAGATAAGCTGAAGAAAAAACATCATAAATCATTATTTACAACTACACCCTGTATCACCAACACATACCGACTCTTCCTGTATCACCAACACAAAGATACAGACTTTCCCTGTATCACCAACACAGATACCGACTATGTACCACCAACACAAAGAAACTGACTCCATGTATCACCAAGATGCAAGTATTGACGTAAAGCATTGTGGCACCTCTTCGAACACAGTTTATACCCACCATTTACAATTTAATGAGTTTAATGTGTCAAAAATCATGTCATGTAGGTTAAAAGTACAAAGTTTGGCAAGAGGGCACCACTTCATAGATGGTTATTAAAAAATACCAAATCTCCATATACTGAAATCAACTTGAAAAAACAAAGGTCTTACATATATATTATTATAGCTAGTGACTTTTACAACACAATATAAAAGACTCTTCTGGCATACTGTACTGGCAACAATTGTTTTACGTAATTATGTCTGAATGAAGTTGCTTTCCATTTTAGTTGAATTCAAACCTCAAGAAGAAGAATAGACATCGTTATGTGTGACCCAGACAATAAAAATATTAAACAAAATATTTAAAGAAGGACCTAAATAGACCTACTGTAGAAAGAATTGCCCTCCGACCACAGTTATCATGACGTCACAGACAGTCCGGTTTTGTGCGACGAACCTTCCGGGAGAACTCACTACGCATGCACACCAAGGTCATGAGATTGTAGTGACTTCTCCCATAGAACGCGTGTCGCTAGACATAGTAGTCTCCCGTAGCGGCCGGCTCATCCACACCCCCGCCCGTTATGTCTCACATGTGGAATACAACCCCTGGACAACAAGTCTCCTGCACCGCCCGTTATGTCTCACATGTGGAATACAACCCTGCGGACAACAAGTCTCCTGCACGCCCGTTGTCTCACATGTGGAATACAACCCACCGACAACAAGTCTCCTGCACCGCCCGTTATGCCTCACATGTGGAATACAACCCTCGCCGGACAACAAGTCTCCTGCACCGCCCGTGATGTCTCACATGTGGAATACAACCCTCCGGACAACAAGTCTCCTGCACCGCCCGTTGTCTCACATGTGGAATACAACCCCGCCGACAACAAGTCTCCTGCACCGCCGTTATGCCTCACATGTGGAATACAACCCTGCCGACAACAAGTCTCCTGCCGCCGGAGAGTGCTGTAGTGGATCCTCTCCCCTACTTCCGCCGTTTGTCGCTGACCAGCCGACCCTCTTCGAATTCCCCAGCTTTCGCCTAGTGGTCTAGGTCGGCAACCAGCGCCGCCTAACAAAACGGTCAGCTATCAAGCCATGCCTACCCCCGCTATATAAGACCTCACCCCGCCGTGACCTCCCTCTTTCTTCTACCTACAGCCACCAGCAAGCAACACCTCCTCTGAGCACGCTCCCCTACCAGCTCTTACTACTCCAGCTTGTAACCACGCTGCCACTCCCCAGCACCAAGCTACATTGTACATCCAATACAACATGTACAGAAGAGCACATTGTGAGTTTCCTTTCTCAACCCATCCTGAGTGTGAACCAATATCTCATAACCCTACAAGATTTCCTGTGATATTTCTTCCGCCTTGGGGATCATATGAAGATCTTCCCCCCCAAAGTATCCAACTGAAGATCCCCCCCCCCAGTCGCGCTCATATGAAGATCCTCCCCCCCAAGTAGGTTTGGGGGAGGTTAGGTTAGGTGAGAAAAACACGATTCATCGATATGCACAACTGTTCCTGGGCCACCAAGTTGCACTGGGTTAGCCTGAAGATATCTACTGCACACTTCCCGGAAAAAACTGTAGCAGTCGATCATGGTCTTCTCAGAAACACCAACTTGACGGCGCCTGATTCACCAATACGTTCACTCCATATATATTACATGAACCCAGGTCTGAAGTGTTAATCTAGAGTTGGCGAAAAACGATCCAGTCCTTATAGATACTGTAGATTTATACTGGCACAGTCTTTGGTCTGGCATTTCCAAGCATAGCCATCATTAGATTTGGCATACTTCGTCCAGTTCATTTCACTATCACAAGAGGACATTTCACTTCACTTTAAGCATTCTGCGTTGCTTAAACCAATTAATAACAGACAGAGAATCTTCAGTTAGCAAGGGCAGCACAACAGTCTTGAAAGTATCACGGTCCATGGTGCTCTTGATATTGAGTACATGGGCAAAATCTGACTATATATATATATACCAACACAAATGTGGTCATAGTGACGTCAGGTCAGATCCTCCCATCCAGGCTAGATCATATGAATCCTCCCCGTAGGTTTGGGGGGGAGGATCTTCATATGATCCCGCCTTGGTTTTGCACGTGTTATGAAAACATTTCTTCATCGGAAATATAAATTTTCTTTCAATACTGAACAGTTTTCACGTTACCAGGAAGACCTAGAGAATACAGTATCATGGTAAGCAATTCTTATTGTGAAAGTAACGAATTTTGACATCTTTTGAGACTGATTTGCTAACCCATGTTGCATATTATACAACCGGAAGGTTTATCGCACCGGAAGATTTGTCGCATGACACCCGTACATTTTCTGAACCCACACACCCGTCTTCAAAATAATGTTGAATCTTTTTTCTACACCAAATGACCTTTATGTCACTCAAAATACCTGTAGTTTTCTATGGATGACTTACAGAGACCCAGCGCGAGATATTAAAGGTGGAGACCGTGAGTGCTACGTCACCAGATATCAAATCCAAAAGATATGCTTGAATTACTTTGGCCAAGAATTAAAAAAAAAAAACATTCAACATTTGTCTTCAACGAGTGACAATTTTATAGTAATTTCACGGTGGTGTTGTGTAAAGCGTTGCCAAAACTCACATTTAGTCTACCCTTGAACAACAACACACTGGTATGTCAAGTTGCAGTGTTTGTGTGTGAGCGTGCCAGCACTACTCTTCCCTGTTCAAATATCGATTATAAATCTAAGGTGGAATTATTCACTCATTCAAAGTACGCCACCGCGCACGTCAATACTGGCCCTCTACACTGCAGTCTTGCCATTCTCGGTATGGTGACTAAATAATATCGACGCTGAACGCTCATTTTCAGGCAATGTGTATCAGGCCCTCGGGTGCAGCCCTGCCATATGGTTGAGGATTGTATAACTAGTCACCATCAGGGAGCCGGTGGCATGACTCAGCTATCAGCAATTAAATAATTGTGTTCGTCATGACTCATGCACTTATCCTTTGCTATCCAATTAAAATTATAACCTATAACCTGGGGGCACTGACACTTCGTTTACCACCAGTGAAGACTAAGCAAATGACAGCAACCTTGAATTTGTGTACTATTTTAAACTCTAGCCACAGCGCAACAATTCGGAGAGAACTGTTAAGAAATGTTACGAATATTGCCGTGGCCAGAATTCTAATCCTCAAACAAAAGTTATTAATTTTGGGGTATCCCAGTAGTGATCACAATCTGCGTGCAAATATGAAGGTAACGTGAGTAATATAAAAAGAATTATTTCACTCATATTTTCTTTAATTATTGGTGGACCAGTATAATCAATATAGCCAGCGCCACATGATCACCTAAACTGACATACATAACGGCAAGCAAATGTGACCTAGAAAATTCAGGCTGTGCTCACGCTGTAATAATCCACCCCCCTCTTATGCTGTGAAAGATATATGCATCAATGCTTTTTATAATATGTATGTAACCATGCCCCAAAAGAAAAGAAAAATTAATAAATCAAATTAAACAAAGATATGAAAACATACAACACATGAGACATATCACAAATATTTTCATTGCATACAACACGCACATATACAAAGTAAAACTGACACCTACCAACACTATACAAACCAAATGACACGGGCTACACCATCACAAAAAAAAATCACATTGAAACTTGTCACCTGACTGGCCATTTCATCTGGACTGTCAGTAACTCGCCATCATATCACTCACTCATACCATAATTCATCCAAACTCAAACAACACCAAGACGAAAGAAGACCACCAGAGTACCAAGAACAAGACCGTAAGAATAACAAGAAAAGAAGAAACAACACCATCAGAGTAATGTGGCAAGAAAGAAGACCAAGAACAGAACCGAAATAGCCCAAAAGGCGCAGTGGCCAATAATCCCTAAAACAAGGTCACGGGGTTACACAACACACACGGACACGAGGAAATCGAATTCCAGCAGCACAGTCGTAGTAAACATTCAAGGTGGATATCGGTGATCCTATTTCTGTAGCAACTATACTGTATATTTGTTATTTGGGGCGATCATGCATAGAAGATAGAAAACATTTGTGGAGTCGTCTATAGCTTGTTAGGGGGGGGAACACAAATGTCTAATAAGAAAATATCAACATTG